AGAGATTTATACTCCACCCTTCACTACCTGAAGGAGTCTCAGAGTGGCTTACAGTCTCCTTTCCCTTCCTCTCTCCTCCCCACAACAGACACCCTGGGCGATTTCTCACTAGAGCTGCCTTGCAGCACAGCGCCCTTTTGCCCCAACACAGACATGTCAATTTCACACCCAAAAAACAGGATCAGGAAAGAAACTGCAGCCGGAGTCAGAGCTTCAGGTGTGAAATTGACATGTTTGCGTCGGGGCAAACGGCAGCTGTGCTGCAAGGCAGCTCTAGTGAGAAATCGCCCCCTGTAAGGTAGGTGGGGCTGAGAGAGCTCTCTGGAGAACTGCCCTTGAGAGAACAGCTCTGAAAGAACTTATGACTGACCCAGGGTCAGCTGCATGTGGAGGAGTGGGGAATCAAACCCGGTTCTTCCAGATTAGAGTCCACACTCTTAGCCACTACATTAAACTGGTTCTCATGACAAACCATTGTATGTGGTTGTAACTATGGTTAAGCCCATGTCATACTTTGTCTTTAAAATGTGATCGTCTAGTTCAGTAAAAATGTGCCACCTTGGCAAACCTCTGAAGCCAAAGAGGCATTTTGAAAACCCAGGCACACCAAATCCGGGCTCTTCGTAATACCCAGGGCCTCCATAATCTTTGCTTACAATGAAGCCAGTAATGAAATGAGCACAGACAACAGAAATCTCCTGGGGTGTGAATAAACAGTCTACTAGGAACAATAGTGATTATGCCCGTAGAAAACAGAGAGAAAGGGCTGTACTCTCTGATCCACAGGTTGGATTGGACTTGATTAACCTCAGTGGTCTGTTGTTGCCTAGGCAGACTGAACAGGCACATAAGCGGTCAGCTCAAGACTTCTGGCTACCTTAGGCCGCATGGGTCCCCTAAATCCTGCAAAAGGATTCTTGGACAAATTCTCACTTTCTGCAGGGTCTCAATGCAGGAGAACAGAGACTTGCTTCCTCCTTCTGTAACGGCAGGCACAGTTTAGAGATGGCTGCCCTAGGCGGTTGCTTAGGCTGCCGGTATAGTTGAGTGGACTTTTGTATACGTATCAGCCAGCAATATTTTAAAGCTAAGGAATATCTGTCCTGATCTCAATGGCTCAGGGTAGTAGATTCTGGAAACTAAATAGGGTCAGGTCCGGTCAATACTTGGGTGGGAGACCTCCAAGGAATACCAGGGTTGTGATGCAGAGGCAGGCAATGGCGAACCACCTCTGTTCCTCTCTTGCCTGGAAAGCCCCATCATAAATTGGCTGCGACTTGATGGCACTTTCCACCATGGGATATTTATTTGTTTTTAAAATATTTTTTACACAGCTTTTCTCTCCCACTGGGGGGGCGACTCAAAGCAGCTTAAAGTAAAGGTAAAGGTTCCCTTGCTCGAAAGCCAGTCGAATCCGACTCTACGGTTGCGGTGTTCATCTCCGTTTCCAAGCCGAAGAGCCAGCGCTGTCCGGAGACATTTCTGTGGTCATGCGGCCTGCATGACTAAACACCAAGGCGCACGGAACGCTGTTACCTTCCCACTTAAGTGGTACCTATTTATCTACTTGCAATTTCTTGCTTTCGAACTGCTAGGTTGGCAGGAGCTGGAACTAGAGACGGGAGCTCACTCCGTCATGCGGCACACTCGGGTCTCGAACTGCTGAACGACCGACCTCCCACAGCCTGCAGTTCAGCGTCTTAACCACTTGAGCCACCGCAGCTCCCAAAGCAGCTTACAATACACATAAAAACAAGAACTTAAACAAAAATATACAACCCAACGTTCTCCCCCAGTACTATCTTAAAGGAGGCAATGAGGCACAAGGACATCCATGTCTGACTCTGAAGCTGGTTCCGATGGGCCTGGCATGGGGCTCCACAAGGGCCAACCCCAGGCTTCAAATACCAATAAAAAGGGGAGGGGGCAGATGCTCAGGTCATAGCTGGCTGGTCCAGATGCTTCCCGTCTCCTCCCCTCCTCATGCCACTGGTCAAGCCCAGACTCCAAGTACCTGCTATGTGCACAGGGGCAGATGATCAGCTCAGGTCTTATTTAGTGGGCTCAGATGTTCCTGATTTTCTCTCTTCCTCTCAGTAGTGGAGCAGGGGTAGAGAAAGGCAACCATATTCCAAAAGGAACAGAGCTGGTGTTGGTTTTTTTACAAGCATTGGGGGGGGGGGCGATGACCCTACCCCTGCCTTCATGCAGCTGCATAGTAGAAGGATATCACCTTGATTTCAATGGGATTACCCCCTCACAGGTTTGTATTAGATTAATTTGTGTGTGTCAGCAGGGGTAATTTCCTGCCGGAGTGCGTCGGAGCGGCGATCCGGCAATAAGGAGCCCAGGGGTGCCCCCCCCCACTGCCTGGGATTATAAATGCCTTTAGTTCTCTTCCCCAGATGGGGAAGGGAAAGAAAGGCATTTTAAATGTGCCTGGGTTCCCAGCCACTTAGGGAAAATTGGGCAGGGAACCCAGGAATGTCTGCCTACCTGCCCTTTCCTTGCCTTCTCCAGCCAGCCCGCCACGGCAGGTTGGCTGGGGAGGGGAAGGGGAGGCGGGCAGACGTGCCCCCTTCCCCCCCTGAGCCTCTCCGCTTTTGCGGAGAAACGCAGGGAAGGGGGGGGATTTAAATGCCTTTCTTTCCCTTCCCCAGATGGGTTCCCTGTCCGATCTTGAGAAGATCAGGCAGGGAACCCAGGCATGCTTGCTTGCACCTATTTTTCTAGGAAATGACCCCTGTTCGGTATTACTCTCTCCAAACTTGGAGGCATCATCCACTGATGCTGACAGACAGGCAGAGGAAGAAGAGTTGGTTTTTATACCCTGCTTTTCTCTACCTGAAGGGGCCTCAAAGTGGCTTACAATCCCCTTCCTCTCCCCACAGCCGACACCCCTGTGAGGTAGGTGGGGCTGAGAGAGCCCTTTCGAGAACTGCCCTTGAAAAGCAGCTCTGAAAGAACTGTGACTGACCCAAGGTCACCCAGCTGGCTTCATGTGGAGGAGCGGGGAATCGAAACTGGTTCTCCAGATTAGAGTCCGCCGCTCATAACCGCTGCACCACACTGGCCGCTATTAACCACTACACCACACAAGACGTAAGGTCTCCTCCTGCTCTTCAGTACCTCATAACGGAGATTTGATGCTTGAAAGTGCACGCTCTGAAAATCTTGTCGGTCTCTACGGGGCTACTGGATTCAAATCTCGCTCTATTACTTTAGACCAACAAGGCTACCCTCAGAAACGAACTCCTGCTCTCGTGCAGGAAAGAAAAATTGCATCTCTTGAGGCGAGTATGCTAGGCTAGAGGTGCTTGGGGAGTCACCAGGAAATCCTGCCCTTCAAATATAATCTGCACCACAAACTCACCAGGTTGCCGTAAGCCTTTCTAAGATAATAAATGCGAAGCACTTAGAAAAACGTAGCGCACTCAGCAACTGCTAAATCGTACGCTTAGCTTAATATGCGAGCCGGTGTAGTGTGTCAGTCGGAGTGTCGAAGGAGGATCTGGGAGAGCCACGTTCAAATCCCCGCTTTGCCATAGAGGCTCACTGGGTGACCTTGGCCCAGTCATGCCCTCACCCTGGCCTACCTCACAGGGTTGTTGTGAGGATAAAATGGAGGAAAGGAGAAAATATAAGCCGCTTCTGTTCCCCGTCAGAGAGAAAGGCAGGGTATAAGTGAAGTAATAAATAACAAGTGTTATACAGTTGACTGAGATTTGCTAAAGGCACAAGAGCTCTACAGGGAAAGAAACGCTGGCAGCAACCAACTACCTTCTTTGCATGACAATCTTAAGCAGAGCTGCACCAGCTCTAAGCCCACTGAAACCCACCCATTTAAACCGGCATTAACTTGGCCAAGAACCGTATTGTTAGCAGCATATTTGCCCAAAGCGTCCGCTGGGATGCAGAGGTCTATACATTAATGACATGGGTACTTTAATGACATGGGTACTTTAATGACATGGGTACTTTAATGACATGGTCACAGCCTCCCCTTTCCCCATTATGGGGACAATACTACTGGCCCACTTTACAAGGCTGTTGGAATCCCTGCAGCAAGATAAGGTTATGTACACATGCATTTTTCAGAGACCCAAAGGATTCCTCTTGAGTAGCTTCAGAGCCATCTAGGGCCAGCCATCCCGTTTGCAACTGGGGAGGGTCAACTATTTGTGGGAACTCAAAGTCGGGGCCAGACGGCCACAGCCCCCCAGGAAGGACCCCCTGCTTCTAAAACAGGAGGGCCCCGGCGCTATCAACAGTTCAATACGCCACGTGTTCACCCCCTCCGCCATAAATTAATCAGATTTAATTTGTGGTATTGTATTACATTTGTGTCTTGTAAGCCGCCCTGAGCCCGCGTGCGGGGAGGGCGGGGTATAAATGAAATAAAATAAAATAAAGAAATAAGTGGCCGCAGCCCTTCAATGTTGGGCTAATACCTGTGGCCTACCTCACAAGGCTGTAGGCACATGCACACATGTCACCACCAATGTTCCCTCTAAGCTGAGTTAGTGTGAGCTAGCTCAGAGATTTTTAGCCTCCGGCTCACACATTTTTGTCCTGGCTCAGGAAGGATGGCTCCAGAGCAAACTAATTTATGCAGCAGCCAAATCGCTCGCTCACAACTTTAATGCCAGTAGCTCACAAAGGAGAATTTTTGCTCACAAGACTCCACAGCTTAGAGGGAACATTGGTCACCACAAAGGGCACTTTGACGCTCGCTTAAAAAATGCAGCTTCAAACCACTCTAGCCCCCGTTTGCCAGTGGATTTTGCCATTTCACACGGCAAAATCCTGTTGCAAAGTGGACCGAAAGTAGCGCGTGTGTGAAAGCAAGGTCAAGAGCCCTCTACCGCAGCCCAGCATCCTGTTTCCAAGCGCGGCCAGCCAGCCAGCCTCCCTCGACCGGGAGCTCAGCGGCAAGGCCAGACGGTGGCAACAGCCCCAAACAAAGGCGCCAGCGCGGTGGAGGCCCCGGCCGGCCTTACCTGGTATTCGGCGAGCTCTGCGCCGTGGCGCTCGCCCTGCGCCCGCCGCTCCTGCTCCAGGCGCTCGGCCAGCGCGGCCAGTTCGGCGCCGCGGCGCTGGAGCTCCTCGACTTGGCGCCGGCTCTGCAGGTTCCGGGCGCGCAGCTGGTCGGCCTCCTCCCTGCCCAGGCGGCCCTCGAGCTCCTGCAGCGCCCGCAGCTCGGCCTCGTAGCGCTCCAGGCTGTGCTCGCAGCTCCAGCTCAGCACCAGCGCGCAGCTCGCCGCCGCCTCCTCCTCTTCCAGCGCCCGGCGGCTCCGGCGCCCCGGGCGGGCGAGTGGCGGCGGCGGCGGCAGGGCGGGCCG